CTGCACTGAAAGAAAAAGCAAAAGGATTTTATCCAAAATTGTAGCTCGCTTTTTAGATGACAATGAGGCCATCTTCTACCCAAGGTCTTTTGTCCTCAGTGGACAAGTGCCAACATACTTTGTCCAAAAATTATTCACATCAGCTAGAGTAGTTAACCAAGTTAGAGGGAAAGTTGCGCTAGAGCCATCCACCTCGGCCTTCTCGATCACCTTTGCGTCCTAATAATGTCGTACCAATGCGCTCAGGTTAAGGCATTCATGTTTGACAGTAGCAAAACTGTCACATTTTAAGGTCCTGTTAAAACATAAAATCTGCATTTCTCTGAATCGTTAGCCTGTATATTTTCTCCGTCTTCCCATAATGAAAAGTAATGAATACCCAAATAGTGATATCAGGATTCGAATACTGGCACCTCGAATAATTACCAGAGTACTCGAGTCTCCATGCACATTCCCAGAAGACAAAGCTTCACATGGTCTATGTGATCAGGACCCTACAGACACAGGCCATGTAGACACGAGACCATTAGAGCAGCATAAATTATTAATAATCCATTAATGCCTATTAGAGTTGGCACCAACCTGATACCAAGTATCAGAGTCAGGGAATACCAGCAGATAATGCTGAATATATGATGAAAAATGTTAGGTTTAAGGACAAAAGAAACTAACCTGATCTTATTCCATAACAAATTTTGCCTGAAGCATCACAGAATTTCTTGTAGTGCAACATAACATGAAGCCAAGTAAAGTGGATCATGTGAAAACAGTAGCTACAGCAGTGGAAGTTAGTTCCAAATACAAAATGTAGCTAGCTAAGAGTAAGAGAGTAACAATTATTTTAGTTTAATCTGTCCATTTCCCTTTTGCTTTTTCTATGGTAAACACTCACTGGCCACTTTTGTTGTTCCATATGTTTCTCTCCATAATTTGTTAGCCACCCTTTACCCCATCAGTGGTAAGGACCACCACAGGACCACCACTGAGCAGGTGGATCATTCTCAGCACTGCAGTGGCACGGACATGGTAGTGGTATGATAGTAAGTGTGCAATGTACAGAGTGGACCACACACAGCAGTGCTGCAGGAGCTCTTAAAACAACTCCGTGTAAGTGCAGTGTCACCAACCAAAAATATCGAGCCAACAGCATCCTGTGACAAGAAACCGACCACTGATGATAAACTAGAGCAGAGGTGGGGAACTGAGGGCCGAGAGCAGAGTTTGGGGATTTCCCTGCTCAGCACAGCAACCAAACCTTTCAGTTTTGAGTTCAATCAGGTGTGCTTGAGCAGGAATCCCCAAACTGCGCAGAAACCCAGCCCTTCAGGAGTGGAATTCCCCACCCCTGGACTACAGGATGACTAACAAAAACCATGCAGCAACAGATAAGCTGTGGTCTCCAAGGTGGACCAATAAGGTAGGTGTGTCTAATTGAGCAGGGCATTAAGTATACGCAGTGTTTAAAAAGTCCAGCAGCACTGCTATATCTGACACACTCTCTACATCACACTCTAACATGCCACTGCAAGAGCTGAGAATGATCCACCACCCAAATAATATCTGCTCAGTGGGGGTCCTGATCACTGATGAACAGGGTAAAGGGGGGCTAGCAGTGGTGTCAAACTAGTACTATAAACTATTAACACCTCTATTTCTTTTCAACACCATTAACACATTTTCCCACTTTGGTCCTTCCAATTATCTGCTGCTGTGCTACCGTGTAGTCCTCTCATTCAAATACAGATTTACAATGACCAGGAGTACCACTGATGGCTCTTTTGATAAGACCAGTAACAGGCAGTAACAATAACACAACAGGCAGTAACAATAACACTGGAGCACCTTCAGCAGACTATACAGTGCTTACGCACAGAAATCGTGCAACAACAACAACAGCAGAGCAAACTGCAGTTTTTATACATAGTCAAATAGAAAAACTAAGAAGACCTCAGAAATATTTAGTGTTGAGACAGATGTGCATGTGTAAGTATCTGTATGTCTGTATGTGCATGTAAAACCGTGCATCTCTCACTGATCTCTCCCTGGGCAAGTGCGTTTGTGCATATGTGCATCGCTTGCACAGGCAAGACACTGGCATGCTGTCACCAAAACGAAGAGTAATTAGTTTGGCGATGTGACCCAGTGCACCACATCTAATGAGCAGATCAGAATAAGAGAGCCGCCGTGTGAAGCTTTGAGCCCAGCTTTTTTCACATGGCTGATCAGTAAGCGCTTTCTCAATCACGCTATAATCTGATCACAGCACACAATGACAATCAGTGTCAATTCATTGCTCACGTCGTTCGAAAAAGCCTTGGCGCATGTCTTAGTTTGGTCTCTATTCAACAGTCAATATGAATGGGACACTTTGATTCAATTTTGGTTCACAGCCTAGTGGTTACAACATCACCAGCGCCATCTGGTGTCTGAAAGCATATACACACTGTATGGGCAGCTAGGGGTCCAAGCACCTTTCTACGCACCCTTTGATTCCTTTAAAAATTGCTCTTTCTATAGTGTACATTCGCCACATGCACTCCTATCCTGATCATACAGTGACCTTCACTCTCCGCCTCCACACACAAAAAAAAATAAATAAAAATAAAGAAGCATTAACATGCTGAGCTTCAGAGGAAAGCGAACACAACAGACTTCAAAAGTGCTGATGCTTTGAGAGGCCCTTTCATGTATCTTCTACTGTTTGAAAGCAGAAAAAAAATTCCTCAGAATGTGGTACTGACCATAAAGAAGCGAGTGAGAGGGAAAGAGAGAGAATGGCGTACATGAGGAAATGTTTTCAATAACAGGCTGAAAGTGTGCCAGACCTTGCAGTAAAAAAAAAAAATGAGTCATTGTTTCTTTGTCCCTGCAAAGAGGAGATGAAGTAAGTTTGTGGAGGAGTTATTCAACTCTGATGACCATAAAATGCTCGTAGGAATGTGCAAGAGTTGAATATAATACAAAGCAAGGCCAGGCATGGTGCTCAAAGAGTTGCTATAGTACAGCTCATGAGTGGCTGTGTGGGTGCACACTCACAGATACACATTCACTGGAAACTAGGAACACATCCTGAGGCTTAGCCTATTTCTCATCCACCCGTCCAAGGTAACGTCATGTTTAGCATATTTTAACGGCCTTCATACGACGCAGCTGAATGCCTACATTCATCACAAACCCGTCCTGTGAACAGGTCTACAGCCTTTTAATTGAAACTTATCTTTTCACTTTCAGGTTGGCTGTATTCTGCTCTGTCTAATACACATATGGGTGATTTTTCAGTTAGAGACAGTTAGTTTCAGATTTTTATACAGTAGGAATCTACCAACACAATATTTTGTTCAATACGAGCCTCTCAGTTCAATAGGCACAGATATCAAACAATACACTTAACAAACTGGAGCGTAATATAATACTGATTATATTGCTTTACCTATAATAAAAACTAAACAAGAAAGCTAACAAAGAGGGCAGACCCTACCTCCTCTGAGAATACTGCTTCCTCTTCACCTCAAGACTGAGAGTAGGGAGGAAAAGAACCCTCCATATAAGCACATATTAGCTTGTGGCTAATATATTAGCTTGTGGATAGCACATTATCATAAAATACTGTACTTTTATAAGGCTAAACACTAAACTAAAAACGGAAACATTAACATATCGACTTAAGGCATATTTTCAAGCACTCTATTTTTCCTGTGTCAAAAAAAATAATTAAATTGAGAACACCGTATCTTATCAAACCTAATTATTGTAAATTGTTACATCCTTAACATGCCAATATATGTTCACATACATACACTTACACATAATATAGATTTATTGCATTTTAAAGATTAGGTAATAGTAGATCTAAATGTCTTATGTGCCTCATTAATGATTTTCTTTCTCAAGCTAAGTGTTGCCAGGATTTCACTATTGTTGCCCCTACCCAGACTTTTACTTCTCCTTTATAATAATTTCAAATGCATATAGTTAAAATTCACTTATACGCAATTCTGCAGTTATTACAATCATTTCTTAGAGGACAATACAAATTTTCTCAAATCAATTATGTGCCACTGGAGTGACAGAGGAGCACAAAACTACCATCACAAAACAGTGACATTTGGATGGTAAGAAACAGAAGTTATTTTAAGATTCACACGTCATCATCTGTGAATCCGTTTTTTTTTATTAAGCACTGTTATAAAATATGTTACTATATGAGAACTATACTTTAGAAATAGCCAGGTTTGCTTTATTGACATACGCTGAAAGGAGACCTCCACTGTATTTTGAAATATTTCTCCAGAATTAAACTATGATGTAAACAAGGTCGTTGAGAGCGTTTTCATGTGGACTATTTATTTAGTTAAATGTACAACACTTATTTTTTCTACTATTTTACCAGTACATGTTCAACATTACATTTTAGTGTAAAGAAGTCATGTGTAGATCAACTGGCCAAATTTTGCTACAGTGAATTTCATATCAACTTTACTTAAATCTCAACAGCTAAATTATGTACAAATTTTAAAAAATGGAACAAATACCCCTTTACATACACACACACACACACACACACACACATATATATATATGTATCACATGCCAAAGCCATTGAGTTAATTATTGTGTCTTGGTTGTAATGACGTCTTGTTATTGCAGTGACAAATTATCATTTGATCAACAAATTATAACAATAATATAGTGTAAGTGAATACTGGTGTGAATTACAACTCAATCATGTGTTTTGCCACTGAATAACATGACTGGAGTCAAATAGGTTCCTAACTGCAGAATCACCTATTTATATACAGTTTGAAACCATTTTTATAGCAGATTCCAAAATCTGTGTGTGACATTGCTGAACGTTATTTTAAAATGACATGTAAATTAATTGGGGTCCCGGTATGTGTTAAAGTAATGTTTATATCCAATTTATATCTTTTGCCCTTCTGCCCATAAGTAGCCATTCAAGTCTGAGCAAACTGATGACATGTGAATGCGTTCAGTAATACCAGTTTGGCCAGGTTGACCGAGTCTGCGGTTAGCCTGTCTCGGAGGTGGGGATCTAGCTGTGTTGCTGGGGCAACCTCCACCACCTTCTGGTGCCTCCTCTGAATAGAGCAGTCTCTCTCATAAAGGTGAATCACGTTCCCATACTTGTCACCTGCACAACACGACACATAGACACGACAGACAGACAGATGAGTCAAAGAACAGGGCTGACTGCTCATCACAAACACCATTATAACACAATCTGCTGCTCCAGTCACAACCATCTGTTAATATCTTGACAAAACATCTTGCAAGAATGATTGCTTCTTCCTGATTAACAAAAGAGTTTGTCTGTCTATCGTGGGACAGGCTACATCTGATCTCCATTCTTCTCTAAGCAAACATCTCAGTAGATGCAAGTTAATTAACAGTTGCAACAAATGTCAGACAGCAGCATAAAAGACACAAACTTTGTGTGACAATTCGCTGTGAATATAATTTCCATTTTCACCCAGAAAGCAATCTAACATTCAGAGACAGTGTGTAAAAAAGTTCCCTCAGCTTCCTGACAGTTATAATTAAAGGATAAAGGACACACCCATAAAAGCTGCTGTAAAACAGTGGGATGAAACCAGAGCTTTTTAAGCCCTGTAACAAGAGAGTGCTTCAGGATAATCTACTAAAAAGCACGTCACTTACCCAGAATTTGCACCTCAATGTGTCTGGGCTTCTCAATGAACTTCTCCACAAACAGTGCTCCATTGCCAAAGGCAGCCAGGGCTTCAGAGTAGGCCCGCTGATAGTTTTCTTCCAGTTCCTGCACACAAAACACACACACATACATCAGTGGTTGTGGTGTAACCCACCTTGTTCATTTTCAGGTTATAACATCATATACCATTTAACCCTTAAAGGATAATCATTGCGCTGGCGATGCTTTCTGAACACGTTTCAACTTAAATAACTTTGTTGGAAAGATCAACAAAAATCTAAGTCCAGCTTAAACTAGAGAAGCAGAGCTTTCAGGAGTTGTGCAGAATGTATGTACTGTGTGTCATACATTAAATGAGTGTATACAAACCAAAGTTAATGGTCAATTATTTTGTATATCCTTTTTGGGGGGTTTGTCCTGACTTGGTAGCCAATCAAATGATAAAATACACCATCCAGCATATCCAATTAATCCAGGGAGTTAAGTATAGTGACACTAATTTAACGCATATAAATATAACAATAGAGACTTCAAGTGATTTTTATATGTTCATTGTGTTCTACTATTCAGATTATTCTCTCGTTGTCTACGTTTTGTGGTTGATGTGAAAATGCTTTTGCCTTTAAATTCTTTACATTTAATATGTGTGTTCAATAACTGCAGTAACTGAAAAGCTGAATTTGTGATGAATCAGATATATAGAACACCTGAGTGGCATCACTACATGTAAAAATAAGATCTGTCCATGTTCGGGCACTTTTAAGATGACTCCTCAGAGGGTTAAACGTACATTGCACAAGCTAATGTGTTAGCACTGAACTAATATATGATCGCGAAAAAGGGGCTTTTCCTCCCTGCTCTCAATTTTGAGCCAAGTGACTTTTTTTAGACAAGGGAGGGTCTGTCCTCATTGTGGGCTTGCTTGTTTAATTTGTATCATACATCATGTAATATAATCAATATTAAACTGACTATTTTGTTTGCTTCAGTGTATGTTCAGTGCCTCTGTGGTATTGAATTGAACAACACCATACGATGTTGTACTGTTACATTTCTAGTGTTTATATTTGTAGTCTGTGTAATTATGTGCCTATTTATATGTGTTCACATCATCATTGCTTTTGTCTCCTATAACACCAGCATTTTTCCCCCAGAGGAAATTAAAGTACAACTGTCTATGTAGCCAATTGGCAGACCAAGGAAACTGTTCAAACAAGGAACTGCACCCATCATACACTGACGTTAATCATCTGTATCTGATGTGTTTGGAGAGACGCATCACTTCTGTTCACTGAAAGGAAAACCACAAAACAATGACTGTGCCAGACACTGTTCTTCAAGTGAGTTCAAGTGAGTAAACGGATATTCAGATGATGTCACGGCCACACGATCAACAGATTTAAATCTCTCTGGGGAGTTGTAGGATTATGTTCGGTTAGGCCTCGGAAGCAGCCCCCTTTAAGTGTCACGTGGTCATTATGGCTATAGGACGCTAGACGCTCTTAGTTGTCTATTTCATACGTTTGGAATCAGGGATTATTATAAAATAAAATGTTTTATAAATTCTTTTTGAGTGCCAGTGTATGTATGTATATATGTATCGATACGTAGATATACATTTTTCAGGTTTGATACAGTTCTTGATTCTATTTTAATTTAATTTTCAAGATTTTATTTGTTAAAAATGTCTTGATTCTGTAGACCTCTATGGGCAGATTTACTAATGTTTTGCCCAAAAAAACATATATTTTGATGTTAAAACATGGCTGTTCATAATAAATCATGACTGTTTAACGAAAACGGTTTTTTGGTGGCATAATGGCTTCCATTGCTGCTGAGAAAGAAAAGACAGTTTCACACACATTTATTTATTTTCAACTTCAATGGGAAAAAAAACATTTTGTGAACGTCTGCCACGTCATATTATTGTCAATTTAATCAAAGCTAAAAAAAATTGTTTCAGTAAAACTTATTTCTTAAAACTTCAGGTATATTTTACACTCATCAAGTGTCTTAAGAGCAGTTTTTCTCTAAATACACTGTGTTCCAAATTGTTATGCAAGTGATATCAGTAGGATTTCAGTAAATTTGAGCATTTAGATTTTAATTTTTTTAAATAAAGTGTTTTTTTTTCCTCATACCTTTTTAGATAACTGGTATCATCTCAGACAGGTTTGTTAATTAGTTTGCCAGGTGACCTTGAGTAAAGGGAAACGTACTTAAACAGATTGTTCCACATTATTAAGCAAGTCACAGTTCTCATGCAATATGGCAAGAAAGGAAGATCTTTCTGAATACGAAAAGCGTGAAATAGTGCAATGCCTTGCAAATGCATGAAAACAACTGATATTTCAAAACTGAGAAAACTTATGTGAGAGCATAACTCAGAGCACAGGTGAATACGCCAGATAAAGGCTTATTAAGGAATGTTCCTGTCAGACAAGTTAATTGTATTAAAAGGGCAGCTATAAAACACCACTGTTGAACAGCAAACAGGTATTTGAAGCTGCTGGTGTTTCTGGAGTCTCAAGAACCTCCAGAAGATGGCAGTTGTGCATGAAGCTTTATTTCGTCCACGTCTAATCAAAGCTCACAGAGAAACAGTTACAGTGTGCTCAGAAATACATAAAGGCAGTTTTATTCACTGATGAATGCTGTGCTACATTAGATGGTCCAAAAGGATGGAGTTCTGGATGGTTGGTGAATGGCCACTCTGGGCCTAAGTCACTAAGACTGTGACGTCAGCAAGGAGGTGGCAGAGCGATGATTAGGGCCGGAATATTGGGAAGTGAGATGGTAGGTCCCTTTAGGGTCCCTGAGGGTGTTAAAATGGCCTCTGCAAGATATGTAAAGTTCCTTACCAACCATTTTATGCCATGGTATGAAAAGAAGAGTGATGCCTTCTGAAATAAAATCATTTCATGCAGGACAATGCACCATCCACCATGCTGCAAAAAACACCACTGACTCTTTGGCTGCTATGAGCATAAAAGGAGAAAAAAAAACATGATTTGGCCACCATCATTCCCTGACCTCAGTCCTATTAAGAACCTGTGGAGCATCCTTAAAAGGAAGCTCTACTAGGGTGGGCGTCTGTATACCTCGAAACAGCAGCTCCGGGAGGCAATACCAGCCTCCACAAATGAAAGGCAGGCAGAAACTACACATGGACTTATGAGCCCTTCTTTGTGATGACTTTAGCAACTCTCTCATCCATTGAACTTATATCAAAATATAACTTAATCTGTAAATCTAATTTTTGATTGAATTGCTTTTGTTTTTGATAAATGGTCTGTTCATGCAGCAAATATGACAGATTTCTGTTTGAAATTATATTAATGTCTTTATGACCCACTGAATGTTTTCAAAAACTGCATTCAGCATAATAATTTGGAACATATTTTGTGTTATTTTCAAAACATCAATAAAGCAATTGGCAGTATCAGTACTTCCACTTGTAATAACATCTGCATGGTGATATAACCACTGAGCATAAAAAATGAAAAATTTTAACTGTTCAGGAAAACAAAAATTGTACATGCATAATACTTTGGAACATGGTGTAATGACTCTGCAGTTTCTTTTTTTTTAGTTATTTGACCCGCAAAGTCAAAGTATTGAGAAGTCATAATCAGAGAAAGATGATTAAAAAAAATACATTTTGGCTGCATCTCACATGCTTTTTGTACAGAAGCCTGTTTCCACTAGGGGTTTATATGTGCACAAAGTTGCACCCATGTTCATTCGCATGGAACTTCTTAGTAGCCCACAGGCGCAAAATGCCGGTAGACCAACAAAATAAGCCTTAAAAATCACAACCCCTAGAATTTATAACTGACTTCAGGAAAAAAAGCCCAGTCATTTGAGCATAGGTGTGTGTGTGGTATTATCGCCACCTACTTTACTTAGTTAGCTATGCTGCACCCAAATGGCTTGATCAGTGACAGCGGTTTCCAGCTACAATGAGGTTTTAAACTGCAATGCACCGTTTCAAACCTTTTCAATTTTTATATGTACTGAAATCATTACACCCTTACTTATGCATCCATCAATCCATGTATGAAAACCCTTTATAACCACATACTTAAACTACATGTCCTTAAATCAGATTTACATTAAACGGTTTTCAGTTTTGTACTCCACTGCAACCAGGCGCACTATAAATAAAACTATCCTTCTCTCTTACAAGAAACAGAAATTCTCTAGTTATCTGCAGAGCCAGGGTTTAAGCCAGGGCCTCAGTGAGAGGAGGCAGTGAGACATGAGGGCTAAGGTTTGCTCATCTATCTGCAGCAGACATGCTTTACCTCATACTCACGGACCACCCGCATGCCACGGCCCCCACCACCGTACGCAGCCTTGAAGATGATGGGGAAGCCATAGTTGTGGGAGAACTCCTGCGCCTCCTGCAGAGAGGAGATAGGAGCGTCTGTTCCAGGAACCACTGGCACACCTGCAAGAGATGACACAGGGACACACACATACAGTGAAGATAGTGGGGGTGTTTACTGCCAGTTTGCCCAGCAAATCCACAGTTTGTACTGATGCAAATTACCATTTCTAGCAATGTAATTAGTCCAGAAAGTGCTTTAAAAAGGCAACTTTCTATTTTTTCCAGATAGATTTTTTGGTTAATTACCCACAAAGGAGATATCAAGTTTATAAGTTAAAAACAAATAACTACAAAAATAAAAACAAAACACTGATCAACTCAAACAGAACTAAAGAGCTAGGGGTGGGTAAAATGATGATATTAATCATCACAATAATTATATAGCAATAAGCTTTTCTGAGCATATTGTGACTATTAGGTCTAGGTGATAGGTGATATACTTGGATATCGTCGATGACTGACATAACTCATTGACGATGCTTGAAAGGCAATAATCGGTGTGCTGGGAAACTGACAGAGAATGAGAGAGGACCAATTTACCACTAAACAGCTGGCTAAATATGCTGGGAAACTGGGGTTCACATTCCTATAGGTTAAGAGAGAACTACAGGAGAAAAGTTGAAAGAGAGGAGTTTGTTAAGAACTAGCCTGTTAGTTCTCTCTGCTATGCACTGTAATGCTGATTTTACCTACTGCACGACTCTCCCCCTGAGTGCATGATCTTCTGGGCAAAACAACAAAGCTAAAGAGACTGGATATATTGCCCTAGAGCAGCTAAGCTAGCGGTATGATCAACAATCCCAATAGAACAAGGAGAAGAACATTTTGTAGTGATCATTGTGCTTCATTCTAGGAGATTTAGAAGGGGCTCCAACATGGAGCAGTTGTCTGTTGTCTAAAGTTCTGCTCAGTTTTCAGGAGATTGTGACCTCAAATCCTGATGAAACAGCATTACATGTTCCGCTGAACCCTCTTTCATACTAGCCATAAAATACTGTTACCACCTGTTTCAGAGGTCCTTCCATTCACCTTCACACTACTGGTTTTCTTGTGCAATGTAACTGTTACAACTTACCAATCTCAGAAAAAACATAACACTGTGATGTGGTTTGTGTATCATAATGTCTTTAAACATTGCGATTATAATTTTATCATATCACCAACCCCTATTGGTCACCAATATGAATGTCTGAGGTCATCCATCTCCATACCAGAAAGTCAAAAAAGATTACAATAAGCTCCCCACTGTAAGTTCTATACAGCTCAGGGCCCATACTTGCAAACCTTAATAAAGTAGAAGTGTTGATGTGGGATCAGATTGATGTCTTCTTTACAATGACAGTCTTACCGACAGGAACAAATCCTGGATAAACACTCCTCCTACAAGAATCTTTGTGAATACTTGCTCTGGTTTAGATACGTTACAACAGAGAATTCATTTAAGTGTAGTGAACTGCAGCTCTCTAAGACTGAAACTGTTATAGCTCACTGGTGCTATCATAATCAGACTATGAGTATCTGAAGCCAGGCTCGTTCATCTGAGCAGACTGAACAAGATGGCCCCATGGCCCCCATAATCATAGCCAGCGTCTTTACAGAAGCTTATCCCTGACCTACCAGCACAAATAGCGATGGCACGAGCCTCCACTTTGTCCCCCATCTTGCGGACGACCTCAGGGGCAGGGCCGATGAAGCGCACTCCAGCATCAGTACAGGCCTGGGCAAAATCAGCCCGCTCAGACAAGAAGCCATAGCCAGGGTGGATAGCATCTACATCATTCTCCTGGAGGGCACAAACAGAAATACATCAATTTGGTGCTAGTATAGTATAACAGAGTCCAGGCAGACAAACAGAGTACAAAGTAGGGCCGCATATGGACAAAATCCTGTATTGCAATTATACTGTGATATGCCCTGCAATATATTATACCCTTAGAGGTGCCCGGTTATAGATTGGCCTTCTGACACTATTTTGAGAACACATATCAAATGTGTTATACATATCCTAGTCACGTCAAAATCTCAGAACAGCAAATTTTCAGTTTTTGAAAATGCCAGCTGCACTTTGCATTGTCTGGACATATCATATACAATATATAACATATCCAATGGAACAGGAGCAGTCCAAAATTACTTTTATTACATTAAAATAATTATTAAAGTATTAACATGCATTAAAATTGAGCTTGTCTCTTTGAAAATTACCATTAAAATTATAATTTTGAAGACATCTATGTTGGTTAGCTCATATGAATGCTTTGAGTCAGTTAAACACTCAAAAGACCTCAACTGGAAGATGTGAGGCTAGACCGGAAGCTCACAGCAAAACACTAAGTGTAGGGACTTTCCAACCTAATCCAAAAGCAGAGGGAGCCGATCCAGATATTTTTATATTGGTCTATAGCCAATGCCGATCCATTTCTCTTTTCTTGCACTCTTTTGTAGTGGTGAAGTAAACAGGCCTCATCCATAACCTGCACTGAGTCATGTTTTCAGAAGCTAACAAAAACATCTAAATGTCTGTAGTGTTGATCTAGTTTACCGTGGGATATGAAAATTGCTCCAGTGCTTCAACCGTGACTGTACTAGCGAGGTACTGTCTTAAAACTGGTATGTTAAATGTAAGTGAGATGTTATTACACTTCCAGTCTATTTTTTTTGTCACTTACTGCAAGTGGCATGCCACCAGAAGCATGCACAAAAATCCACTCGCACCATGTTTTTCACTCATAAGTCATGACTGTTTGAAAACAAAACTACTGCAATACAGTAATATATTAACAAGTTTGAGAGCATTCAACATTAAAAAAGCACACTTACTTAAAACAAAAGATATGCTTTATAGTGTCCCAATCTAATGCTCTAGACACATCCTAATGTTAGCCCCACGCTAACCCACTAGTCACAAGCTTACATGCTAGTCATAATACAACAATACAATGTGACACAGTTCGATACAACATAATATGCTGTACACTGTTAGAAATAAAGGTACTTTGCAGGTACATTTTTCATTCATCAAGGTACAAACAATATAAATGTACCCTCAAAACAGTTGTTTTAAGGTCCAGATGTGAACCTTAAATAAGTTTTCTCCAGGTGAAAAGTACATATTTGTACCTTTTCATAGCCTAATGCTTTAAAACAGAACAATAAAATAAAAAGCCAGGAGATGAGACGGGGTGTGTGGAGTCAATACAACTTAGAAAATAATAATTTAATTGGATTATGGTACAATTATGTTCCCTGACTAAAGGTACTGAGATGTACCCTTGAGGGTACCACCCCAATGACAAGAGATGTACTGCCCCAGTGACAGTTTCATATTTCTGGGAGTGTACTGTTACATCCCTAAGGCACATACTAAAAAAGTCATTTTACCGATCCAATGTCTATTATTAGCATTTTCCCTATAATATATGGCTGTACTATGATAACACAAAAATAGCTAATTATTGATTAAGTGATCAATAATTAATGATTTGCATATTACAATATGGAAAGGGCGAATATTGTGATAAAGAGAGTGTCAAATGATATCATGCAGTCCTAATACAAAACAGGACAGAGAACTAGCATGAGAAGCAGCATGCTTGGGGGGGAAAAGCCTTTCTTCACAGGGTCAGCTATCCACCATTTCAGCCCAAGTTTGGCTAAAAATCTCAGAGTCGTGACTACTGCACTGAAGTGAATCACAGCAGTGGCTCAAGTCCAAGCAGATCGCTCAGATTCCAGCAGCAGGTCAGACACCAGATACTCATCACTTGTCATTCCAGCAGTGGGACTTTGACCTGTGCTGCACGCTAACAGCCCAGCATTTTCTCTCAGCCCAAGTCAAGCCTACTGAGTTTATTTTCACCCCACACAGAGTTTGACACACATTAGTCAACTAAGAAGAAACATTCACACATAGCATAAGTATCAGGTACATTGGCTATACAAGATTTACAAGCTTGAATTGTTCCTTCTCTGCAAATCATTTGAGTGTTGTAATGTTATATGGGTCATGAACATTTAATCTGTTATTTTACACTCTCACCCAGAGCTTCCACGCTCACACTCCAGGCAAAGCCTTTGTGATGACTGACGACACATGATGTGCTTATAAATCACAGCCTACATGTTTCTCACATCAAAAGTTTAAACACTTCCTTGAGAGGAACCTGTAGATCTTAAACCTTCCCATCATCCATTCAAAATGCAATCACTATATTCTTTTATTGCTAGTTGAAATATATTTACAGTTTTCTCCTTCTCCCAAATGCAGTCAAGCAACTAAGGCATGTTTATTTCTCTTGTTTTGCAATGATGCTATGAAATTAATATAGCCAATTAGTAATGGAAGCTTATACCCCTATAATTAGCTCTCGTAACTTGTTACTGCATGACATACTCTTATCTACAAAAACTGGACAGAAGTACTGACAAAAAAATTCAGACTTCAGGATGGCCTCTTTCAGCTTTGCGACATAAGCTCACTGGACAAAAATGGGTTGCCTGCATCATCACTTTCTTAATACTTGGTTCCATGTCTCCTTGCCTTAATAACGGCATCAACCCTGTCAGGTAAGGGTTATACCAGTCTCTGGAGACTGATTAGAACATAGATAGACTGGAGTTCCTGCCTCTTCTAGCCTCCTCTTTCACAGACTGGATGCACATTTCAGGTAGTGATTGTGGGTGGCTATTTCAGCATTTCACCTACTGTTCCAAACTAAGATTGAGGTCTGGGGATTTTGCTGGCATCCCAGGGTCCCAAAGGTCCCACCGTGTCTGTTGAACCAGTCACATACAGACACCCTACAGCTGTCACGCTGGAATGTAGGAATGTCAACATTCTGCCCAAACACAAAGCATAAATTTTGCAGAAGGGTGTGCTAAAATGGACAGGCACTCTTTCAAGAGACTCTCTAGAGTAGAGGTATTAAAACTGCTTGGGTGAGAGCTGGATAGTTGCAAAAAATATTTAAACGACTCTGTCATAAGACTGAATTAACTAAACTCACAAAAAGGTGCCATCAAAACTGCGACAAGCTCCTCTGAATGTCTTCTAAAAGCTTCATATGAGGCAGCGTACCATATTGCAAAGGCAAAAAAGTCATACTTGATAGGAGAGATCCTTGTTCTCCCTGCAGCTGCGACAAGAGTAATGCAATGCTTGGAGACAGTGCAGCTGAAAAAATGAAAACTATACTGACATTACAGCTGCTTGGCGAATAGCAGATATATGAGAATATGTCCACAAACGACTTAGGACACGCACACAAGCACACAATTTGCAATCCAGCTGGATGAGGGTACAGACATGGCAAATAATGCCATGTCTGTAGCCTCATTCAGCAAATAATGCCATCGATACCCTAAGTGATACACTGATTGTACTTGTGTCAAAGAGGATTTTTTATTCTGCAAATCAATTAAAGGATGTGCTACCGGAGCCAACTTGTTAAACATTGTCAGTGATTTCTCTGCAGCCAGTAATCGGATAATCAATAATCTGCTCATATGTGCAGAATAGAGTAGAAGCTCTTTTTGTCATGATACTGCTATTTATTTCATTTTATTAGCCAGTTAATGGTAGACAATAAAAGTTCTGGGCAAAAGGGATGATTTAAGCTGATTTATACACACACTGCAACAGTCTGCCTACTGACAAGTTTGTTTTAGTTGAGGGGGGCCTTCAAGGTCTTTAAAAAAAAAAAAATTGGCAAGGGGGTCTCAGGAGGAAAAAATTTCACCAAGCATGTTGTGGTTGGTCAACAATATTTGGAGAAAGGAGGACACCTAAATCACACACACACACACACACACACACAAAGGCAGCATTGTTTAAATATGACATTATATATCATATTTTAAAAATGCTTCCAAAATGCATATATATGTATATACACAACACCGACAAAAGCATTGGGACACCTACACATTACACCTACAGGAGCTTTTATGACATCCCATTTTAAATCCATAGACATTAATATGAAGTTGGTACCTGTTTACTACTATAACAGCTTCCACTCTTCTGGGAAGATTTCTACAAGATTTTAAAAAAGTGTGTCTGTGGGAATTTTTGCCCATTCACCCAGAGTAGCATTTCAGACACTGATGTTAGACAAGAGGACCTGGCTCGCAATCTCCATTCCAGTTCATCCCAAAGGTGTTCAGTGGAGTTGAGTTCAGGGCTCTGTGTGGGCCAGTCAAGTTCTTTCACACCAAACTCACCTAACCATGCCTTTATGGACCTTGCTTTGTGCACTGGGGCACATTCATGCTGGAACAGAAAAGGGCCTTCCTCAAACTGTTCCCGCAAAGTTGGAAGCTTACAATTGTCCAAAATGTCTCGGCATGCTGAAACATTAGGATTTCCCTTCACTGAAACTAAGGGGCCTCAGCCAACACCTGAAAAACAACCCCATAGCATTATCCCTCCTCCACCAAACTTTACAGTTGGAACTATGCAGTCAAGCAGGTAACGTTCTCCTGGCATTCGCCAAACCCAGACTCGTCAATCAGACTGCCAGATAGAGAAGCGTGATTAGTCACTACACAGTATACTTTTTCACTGCTCCAGAGTCTAGCAGCAACGTGCTATACACCACTCTCCCTACCCCAAATGCTTAGCTTTGTACATTTTGATCTTAGGCTTGTGTGTAGCTGCTTCACAGAAACTTGTGTCGTGAAGCTCCTGATATGCAGTTCTTTTGCTGATGTTACTTCCAGAGGCAATTTGGATATGCACTGTGTGTTTCAGTACTCGGTGACCCCACTCTGTGTACGGTTTTTAGATGTACACACACAGAACACTCTATTAGAAATACCTCCTTGATTCTACACTACCTGTGTAGCCACTACCTTCTACCTGTTCTTTAATAGTCAGGACCTACAGAATGGTTAAAGCAGTAGATCAGTGAAAAATCAATAGACAAGGCAAACTGAACTTTCTCCTGTCCTGACCTTGGCCACTTTGATGATGTCAGGTATGTGCAGATATGCAGCGACGGGTGGCAGGCCCCTGCCTATGAGGTAGGCCTCATCTGCCTTCTGCCTGTGCATCTGACCCGTGTCCTGCTCAGAGTACACAGCCACGGTCCGGATTCCCAACTCTGTACAAGCTCGAAACACCCGGATAGCGATCTCTCCTGCAAAAAAGGTTTCATACATTTGTTCGTTGTTGAAAACAGTCATACTCATTACGTCTCTGGCTCAAGGGTTTATAGACAAGCATTGTACATTATTGAAAAAAATATTTAAATTATACAAGCTGCAAGATGATATACTTACAGTATATTTATACATATACTATATATAAGTATACTTAGCTGGCGATTCATTTCAGAATGCTGGGCTCACAATTCAATATTGAGAGTGTGTTGTATGATACTGGACATGCTGGTGTGGGTTAAGCTGGAAGTGTGTGTGATATTTAATATGCTGATGCAGGTTAAGTTGATTGCTGGTGTGGGTTAAATTTATCGTTTATGTGGGTAAAGTTCATAACTGGTGTAGATTAATTTCACTGTGACCTTACACAATGTGACTGCATAAAATGGCATTATTAATAGATTATTAATAGATAGATTAATATGCAGTTGATATCGTTCTTCACTACAACGCACATTGTTGTATTTTTGCATCATGGTGAAATGTCATGATGTACTGTTACATCCCTACACACCTCTATTGGCCACCATGACCTTTTTGATGGGCTTGTACTCCAACGTCTGAGGTGAAGTGTGGGCGGAGCGGGAGTGGCAGCATGCCCTCCGGACCGCCAGCACACCCAGAGCAGCACGCATGCCTCCTAACTTCAGCAGCATCTATACAGAGAGAGAGAGAGAGAGAGAGAGAGAGAGAGAGAGAGAGAGAGAGAGAGAGAGAGAGAGAGAGAGAGAGAGAGAGAATGTAAGAATTCAGGGGAGACATTTAGGGGAAAAAAGCTTTTAAGATAAGATTGTGATGGATATCTATAAAAGTTTTAATAGTTAATTTTTAAGATAAGAGAGTGGTGATTAGGTCTTTGAAACTGCAACAGGGCTACTGCCGAATTTCTGATAAGATAAACCAGCAGCAGACTTCAGGGGTTGAGAGAGGACAAAAATCTGGGCCAGCAAATCCAAGGGAAAGAAGAATAGAATACAGAGACACTCCTCATGGAATTCAAAATATTTAACAAGCAAACACAAGAGTTCATCGAAAGTTATGAATTCTTAAATGTCGATCACCAAATCTGTGACTGGAGCAGAGATTCTTTACTAAATGGCCCAAACTTATAAACACAAACAGCCTGCAGTCATTCATTTTTTTGACTGGTACTGTCACTTCTTCTGGATTTCCGTTTTAATACTGCAGGAAGAGCTGAAGCAGTAAAAGCCATCCTCCTCCGGCTTTCAGAGAGAGGAAAAACATTTCACTGACAAAAAGACATCACTGTACTATTGTTACACACTCATGACAGAGAAAAGAGCAGTGAGAGAAAAAAAGACTGGCGCACCTGAATAAACCACAGATATTAAACTCAGGAGGGGAGCGAGGGAAGACAGAGGGAAAAGGAATGGGAAAATTCCTTCATGAGTGCCATGAGGCAACAGGATGTTCCCCAAAAGCTGGCTCTAGGGCGTAGAAACTGAATCAATGCAAATGTGAACAGTGCAGCACAGAGAGGTTTCCAGGACATGTATTAAGACTAAAGGGGTTCCTTTCATAGAAATATGAATTTTCCTCACATTTTTGAAATACAAGACTTTAATGTACTGTTTAAACATTGTTAAAGTTTCAAAACATACTAGTTACTCCCAAAACTAAAGTTGCAAATGAGTCTGTTTTGCATTCATAGTTTTTATGATGTCACAAAAACCAACACATTTACATATCTCTGACAATTCAGTCTATAGCACTTTAGCCCTGCCCAATCACACTGAAGTAATACACTGGAGTGTTTTAACCTGAACTGCCTTTTGGTACAAGACAGCCAACAGAGGTCTTAAAAGACAAGGTAACAAAAACAGCCTATTTATTTCTAGAGATTAGACTGTTTTTGGTATAAGTTATAAGTGAACCTCAAGGGAAAAAAAATTACTAGAAAAATGCAGGATATGGCTTCTTCATTAGCTCAGTATGCCAAGTTATTGCTTTAGAACCAAGATCATATATCAGTCCTTCCCTATTACCTAAATTCTGCTAGTGTCACGCACAGTGATAAATCCTATCCTACTGGAAGCAGCTGCACTGTGTAGTTATGACACATACCCTGGTAGAACATATCATTCTTTTACAAAATCACAGGCTAAACAAACCACATATACATCTACGCCCAAGGTCAGGCTGATCTCTTATCATATACATGAGTAAACTTTGTAAAATGTAACCTCAGTAGCTGAGACTTAAACGAAACGCCAGTCTTAGAAGGGAAACACATTTTCCCACTTAAGACTGTTTTCTTGTCACAAAGGGTGAACAGATGTGCATGCTAAGGCATGAAGCCCTACCATATCCAGTACTACTAAAAGCTTAGACATCCACAGACAGAAGGGTTTTTTCTTATTATTACAAATGAAATAACATATATGGCCGTAAGCAGTGACCACAAAGTGTTAAGCAACTCTCACATTCTTCAAAATAGCCCCTTTGTATTTTCTAAGTCAGTTTCATAAGGAGCCACCTGGAATGCTATTTCAGATAAATTCATATATATACACACACACACACACCACACTGTGCAAAAGTCATCCTTCATTTATTTGAATTCCCAGTTAAAGTAGTCCAGGACATATTTCTTCAGAGACTAGATTCACCTGCATTCTATTCAAAAAGAATGGAAGCTGTAATAAAGGTAAAGCGTGGACACACTGAATAGAGAATTGTTGGTATTTTATTTAGTCCTGAAAACTGAATAACATGACTGGAAATAATGAATACATAATGGCAGAGTATTTGACTTTTGCACAGTACTGTAGGTATTAACATTGCTACTTGTCTTAGAAACAAATTTTAAGCTTTAAAGCACAAACCTTTAAAACAAAATGTATTTAAGATTATGATAAACCTATTTCAATCCAGACTGTCAGTGTGTATGTATGTATATGAAATGGTGTCACTGGTTCATGCCTAACTGCCAAAACATATGCTGGACCAAACAATGTCAAAAGCAAATAGTGCATACTTTTGTGTTCAAAGGTCCAATTCCTCAATAGTCAGAAAAAAACAAAATATAGGCTTTGGAGGAGAAATGCCAAAATAACATGGCTAAATTGGGCATCATATAACGGCAACAAAAACTGTCTTTATTTCTTCCTTCCTTTTATTAGTGCATCCCTTTCAATCACAATAGTGTACTTAAGGTGTCTGATTTCGATCTGCCAGTGCATCAGCCAAAGTCTGCCAATGGCCCAGTTCTCCATTCTGTTCTCACTCTCGTAAGGATCGCATTCCACAGGCAGATCAACAATACACTGACTGTGTTGCCCCAACATGCAAAACAAGAAAGCTCAAGCTGAACAGGACATACAAAGTGAATGAAAGGAGAACACTGGACAGCCATATTTGAAGCTCTGAGTTATAAAATCCTGGCAGTTTGACTGGTTGTTGGGGTCTGGAGTGAAAACAACATATTTGACAACATTCCACCAGGGTAATTAGGCTCGCCAAAACAATGAGGCACGGCGGCGTGGACTGTGAAATTTGGTGGTGACAATAAGACTCGGTCTCTGGGGCTGGGAGGCACCTCCAGTGGCTTGGAGAATTCAATCCAACCATCTATAATCTCAAACTTAGCACACTTGTTCTTGGTAAACAATCTACAAACATGTGAATTAAAAGCCTGTAATTCTCACTGCAGGCAAACTAAATTGTGATTCTCATGTAGATGTTATTGAGCAAATAACCAACCAAGTAAGCCATTTTGACCAACTTGAGCTTGTTTTCTCTCTGACAGTTTATATGTTGAGCACCAACATGATTTTCAGCCTTACAGGCTCCCTTATTGGTGTACCTAGAGATGCCAACAAGCTAACACTCAAAAAAAGGGTTGGATCAGATATCAGAGGATTTGATTCATTTCTGTAAAATCTAGCCTGAAATATCACAGAATTTCTTACAGCACAGCATAACAAAGCAGGCCATGTGACAGCAACAGTAGCCCAAGGCAGCCAAATTGTGAATTTAAGAGCAATTAGCCATCTGAATGTTATATGAAATTAACAATTCCTTTACTTTAAATGCTATTTGAGAGGTTTGTGTATATCACTTTTAGATGACCATTATAAGTAAAAGTTATTGATTTAAAAACAGATCAGTTTAAAGCTTAGCATTTACCATTCAGATTTTTCAGATTGGTACTGGAATCAGATGATACTCAAGGTTTTGGTATCAGTATCAGAAAAGAGAAGGCGATTTCGTATCATGTCTAGTAATGCCACATCTGGCCACGACTTGCATAGCTTGACTCAACAAGAGGCATCAAGTTTCTTAAAACGGCTGCATATGTATCATATTATCTGGCACCTGCTGGCCTTGAGAAGCCATCAGTCAGAGGTGAAGTACTGACTAAGCTGTTGCTTTCTCAAGACCAAATCAAGAGTGCAGATAGATTTGACCAGCTCCGATTTCACTGCTCTCCTAATTACATCGATACAGCATGGTGTTTAATGTGTCTTTGGTTATTAGGATCGTCTTAAAGATGTTTGCTTTTACATGTGTTCAAAAGGCTTTTTCTCAAGAACCATTTTCTGAGGCAATGGCAAACAGATGTGTTCTCACCCCCCTATTAAAAGCATTCCCCTCCCCACTGAAGAATGCAAAGTGCTCAACACCCTGACCTTATTTTCACTGCTATTAGTGCACTGAGAGCAGGTAAAGCGAGTGTCCAGTCCTTACCCTTACCGAAAAAGAGCATTTGAAAATGTACCAGCTAACAACACAGCAAATAACACAGCTACAGCCAATACGATTCTAACTCAAGCATTAGTTAAAGAGAACACAACATAGAAGCTACAGCAGGAGAAAAAAACTAAACATAAAAACTGCATCGCATGTTATGACAACAGAGAAATCTCAGGTAGATTCAGGAGGGAGTTAACAGCACGCTGCGACAAAATGCGTAAGAAGGTCACACAGTTTCACACAATCAGCAATACCTGCATTTACATGTGTTACACAACTGTTTTATAACTTTTATACCTCACTTTTAAAGCTACAGAATGCAAATGTAGAACCTAAGGGCTTTCATACTGCAAGTCGTCTTGCAGTATGAAACACCTACAAGTCGTCCCAAAGAGTATTTGGGCACTTTAACCATTGAAAAACGTTAATGAAGTTCTTTAGGTCACTTCAATGTTAAAATACTTATCAAAATGATATCTGTTTCAGAGAAAAACACTCAGCACAACATCAATCTGACTGTGTGGAGAAAACCTGGACAAGAATGACTCAGTTTTGTTTCCTAACAAAGAGAACTTCATACATCTTTTTATTGTACAAATGTCCTCTTGGACTGGAAATTCTGTGTAGATATTGCCTATAAAAGCTTCATACTTGAAAATGTGTGGTCAGTCAACCATTCAGTCATGCTGAGGGGTAACAGTAGCAATTTTGCCTCATAAGTAAATACAGGCTGATGCAACTGTAAACAGGAATAGCTCAAGCTGACAATTGACATTATGGCCTCATAAGTATTTGACACCATAAAACCAAGCAGAGGCAGATTACCTATAAGTCGAAATGATGTTAATACTAACCTGCCAAGACATTTAGAAAGTACTCCGAACTTTACCCTTAAAGCCTAACGTCTCATGATCAAACCTCAAGCAGTGATATCTAAGAAAGGCAAACACATTACATGCAGGCAAAGAAGGTAAAACTCAGCATTAAAGAACTGTTTTAAAATCTTTCAAAATCAAAAATGAACTAACGGTTTCTTATTTTTGCATTATTTTTAACTGTTTCAGTTGACTGTTGAGTCAAACAAAAAACTTTACTTTAAAAATGAAATATTGTGATAGTATCTAAACGGTCATAACTACGAAAACGAAGACAGCTGTAAACTGGAACTCTAAGCTGAAGACAGCTTCTTATTCGAATTTTCCCGTTCCACCTTAAATAACGCAATGGTCACACTCTGAGGCGCCTGAGCTTGAGCCACTGGAATGTAACCACTGCTCCATTTAAGGTGGAACGGGGAAATTCCAACAAGATGAAGGCGAATAGGAAGCCAACTTGAGGCTCGTAGCTAAAACTAAATGAGGACAAACGTTAGAACTTGCTGTTCGGCTGCTGTTAGTCATGACAGTTGCCTCATACCTCCACCACACTAGGTCGGCTAGTCGGTAGCCTACACGGTTAGTGCTAGAATAACTTTGTGCGGGGTGGAGGAGTAGAGTCTACTCGTAAAGGCAAAAGGAACACGTGTATGAAACGATGATCCGTAGATCAGTCAGGAGAGGAAGGAGCGTTCTGCAGTGTCTGAGGTAAAGATAACGTGACACATGGTTTAGGAACAAACAACAAATTTGTTTAGACCCCATACTAAAATGCTAGCTCTAGCTGGGTAACTGTACATGCTGTCAAGTTTGGGTGGTTTTTGAAAGTAAGCAATGATGACAACCGAGAAGCAAAACTAAGCAGCTAACAGCTCTTTAACACACAGCTGACAATGTCAGACCTCGTGGGAAGTGAACAGCGCACTGCGAACATCGTCCTTCTTAAAATGAACACAGTAGCCTGATTAACATTCGCTGATGGAGGGAGGCTTACCTTTTTGCTTCTCTCGCGAAAATTACGTGGCTGAAATCGTATTCAGTCTCAAGAATCGTCCGACCTGGGAAGCCCAGACCCGGCCCCTGTGCGTAACTTTTTGTGAATAGCGAATGTACGCCGAAAGGGGGGCTGAAACGCCACTATGGCATCAGGACAGGCTGAGCTCCGGTCTTTAACACCACATCTGACTGTTTACAATTCAAGACAGCGTGCGTGCACGCAAAGGCACGACCGAAACGTTATTAGGATGCCCTAATATTTATCCAAGACTAAAACAACGTGAATAAGTCAAGCAGTTGAAAGCCTTCTATAACTATTCCTTTAGGCCTAAACCACTTGCTATTGGTTCTTATCGCAGCAGCGACATATTACATGTATCCCCACACAACTACTTTTCTTGAATTAGTAATCCACCCATCTGTATGCCACTCATCTATTGGCTGGCAACAGCACCCACAGCTCCCGCCTTTTAACACACTTGTCATTGATCTAATTGGATCATTTCGAGGCGAACGCTGCATTATTCGTCTCCTCACCTGTCACTCAAAAGGCGCTCTTCACGTGATACGTCATTAGACACTTTGCGGCGCTTCCTTCTTGGTGGGTGGGACAAAACGCGCAGGATTACATGGAGCTCTCGGTGGTTCGCTATGCTAAACCCGAAATGGCTCCCTACTCCCTTCGTAGTGCGCTACTTAGGGCATAAGCTAGGCGTTTAACTTTAAAGTATACTGGGTTTATGTGCGCATGCATTGAGTGCCATTTCAGATTTAGCCCTGCGTTTTTAGAGATTTTTATGTTTCAGATGAATATTTGCACAGTACAGCTATGGTTAATTCATAGACTAAAGGTGAGACTCATATCAATGCCTTTTGCAATTAAGAAGTCACTGATTTGCTTGTCATTTGCATGACTGAAAATTTGCAAGGTTACAGCAGGACAGCATGCTTTGGTAAGAAATTTGGGATAAAAACACCAGAGCCTTAATGTAGAAACACAAGTCCCAGAAGTTTATTTAGCAAGAATAACAGTTCTGCAATGGAACGCATAACTTAACCTTCCCTAAATGATGTTATGAGCAGAAAAAAGGGGTGCCTTTCCAGAGATTAAGCCTAGTGCTGGACTAAACCAGAGACTCTTTATTGAAATTCCTTTTCAGTCCAAAGTTGAGCTTATGTGCTCTCTAGGAAACCAGCCCTTAGAACAAGACAGTTAAATGACATAAAAAAAATACATTCATAACAGTAGAAAACAAAATTTAGTATAGAGGATGCAACATTGAAGCATAGTTCATGGTTTTTCCTGCATGTGCTGTCCATGTGACCTTCTCTAGTACACTCGAATCTACACATAACATTTGCTTATAACTATTTGATGCTAGTTCTGAGCACATTTTGCAAGTGATGCAGCCTCTTAACCTGTAACATGGTTGAGACGAGCATTTTCCACTTTACTAAACTTTTTGAATGATATTGGGCAGAAAGAAGGCAAATGCAACCCTACCTGCAAACACAACCAATTCTGTACTACTTTCTAGCCCTTCTTCAGAGACAGGATCTACGTTTCCATCTTAACACACAAACATATTTCCCTGCAGGAAGAATCATGAACACGGCTTAAACACAAGTTTGATTATCCCCCACTCCAAATCCAGAAATGGTCCACTGAGTAAGCTACATGACATGGTTGGACACAGTGCAGCATCAAAATATAAGACCATATGTTAACATGAAAATTATTCTACATCTTCAGTACGAAACTTCACACCACAAGCGCTCCAAACAACTAAATTCGGTCTGTAGAAAAACAGCTGGACAGCTGGGAAACCCTCTCTGATAAGACCCATTAAACATCTCTAGTCTACAACAGATTGATGGCATTTGATTGGGACAGGACTAACAGGGCTTTTTTAAAGAATCTTGGAAATACAAGCTTGCGATTAGGACTAAAACCCTGTTGTTAACATCCACCTCCCTCCTCCTTAAGAAAGACATGTGAAGAAGCAGTACAAGTCCTAGCAAACGTTGGTCCCCTATTAATTTCTGAACTACCCTCGGTCACACCATCTTCAACAGAACATTTTCTCAGCTTTAAAGCATCTTTTCTGGGTAGTTTCTACAGACCCAATCCAACACTGCAGCTGTAGCTATTAGACTAACAGTACGTGGACATTTTTGGACCATTTTTTGTCATTAGAAGCCCCTGATATCCATGAATGGTTGTTCACCATACAGTTCTAAGACCACTGAGCAGAGGTTGCATGAGAAACATGCAATTAAAGGAGAGCTAGCAAGTTAGAAAAAGAGGCAAGCAGAGAAGCACAGAAACATGCCAAACGAAATAAAGCATGCATTGCTCTTTGCCATATAGTATGTTATATAATCTTTAAAATAGATACATGTATTACATCATCATCACCATCATATGTATGTTTCATAACTTAGCATGTATGTAAATAGTTTTTTTTTTCCTGAAAACCAATACTAATAATTATAATAATAATTATAATTATAATAATAATTGTAGAATGGGGCGAAGACAAGGAAAATGAGTTGACAATTTGAAAGGTTCTTTATAAAAACAGGCAAAGCAGAGGAGGTTCAACTGAAGGAAAGAGGAAAGGAGAGAAAAGAACTAATGGAAAGCAGTAGGAGAATGGTTGTGAATGCTTGTTGAACGTTGACAGTGAGAGTGCTGCCCACTGTTTGGTCTGCTGTAGTCCTTTGGATTTCCAGTTTTACTTTGCAGTCATCATCTGGACAAACTCTGTAAACAAGAGATATTAGTGATAAAACTGCTGTTTTTACTAGAAAACAGCCTTTAATCCATTACCTTTAATAAATATTTTAAACGGTACGACATTAACACTGCAATACAATTGTACAATGTTGTGTGATTGAAGGGCAAAGATCTAGTCACGCTATATATATTGATGAAGTGTCTTAACCAATTAAACTTGCATGAAATTAACATCAAAATAATTCAACACAACTATTACGTGATAATACTGACATATTCAAAATCCTTGTTGTATGAGTAGAAGGTCTTGTGCTTATTCACTTAAATGTAATCAGTACAAAATAACAGCTACATCACACCATCAAAGCCAAACAGTGCTCATGACTACTACAGTTGTTTGAGCGTTTGAACATCCATTGGTTATTTCTTCAGCTATGTAAAAAACGTCTGATAACTAACCTTCATAGTTGACCTGGCCATCACCATCAATATCTGCCTCTCGGATCATCTCGTCTACCTCCTCATCTGTCAGCTTCTCACCCAAGTTTGTCATGACATGACGCAACTCCGCGGCACTGATGTAGCCATTTCCATCCTGTACAAAAAGAAAAAAAATTAAGTCACTGACCAAGGCAAATACACATTGAACATCAAATAACATGCAAATATTTGTTAATGTTCTGGAACACACCTAGGAATACACAGAGGACAGTAACTGTGGATGATAACACTGAAAGTAAACACCCTTTTCATTACCTTGTCAAAAACTCTGAAGGCTTCTCTAATTTCCTCCTCGCTGTCTGTGTCCTTCATCTTCCTTGCCATCATGGTGAGGAACTCGGGGAAATCAATCGTTCCGTTACCTACAAATAAAGTACAGAGGGTCAGAAACATCTGATCTGTCATAGCATGTTTCTGGTTGTCCCAAGTAATTCTACACATTTGTGCATATAAACCTTCCCTCACCGTCAGCATCAACTTCATTAATCATGTCCTGGAGCTCTGCCTCTGTAGGGTTCTGGCCCAAAGACCGCATAACAGTCCCCAACTCTTTGGTGGTAATGGTGCCATCACCATCTTTGTCAAAAAGTGAGAACGCCTCCTTGAATTCTAAAAAACACAAACAGGAAGAAATGTTAAAGCAATCATGTACGGCTCAATGCTGGAATAAAAAATAACAATGAATAATCAGAATGCTGTTTTTTTTTTTACCTGCAATCTGTTCCTCAGTTAGCTGATCAGCCTGTTGAGAGCAAAGTATACTTTAAATGTTCATTTCATGCTTTCAGATTGAGCTACCAAACTAGAATATACCAAGGTGTACAACTAAGCACTGAATCTACTTGAAATGGATTCAGACTCAAAAAAGTGATGGAGAAACATGGAGTGCTCCATCTGGCCTGGTGATGTGGTGAATTACTCGATAGCTAGCGAAAGCTAACGCTACATCTCAATAACGATGACGCCAACATTAACCGTGGCCAGCTTGTAGCCCTTCTGCTTTGCAGAATTAGCTTTACCTGTCAAGTTTTGTGCAACTGCAGATAATATGCATCGATCGTATTGCGTTAGGCCTGCGAGCCATTCACTGGTTAACGAGTGATCTCACCTACTAACGCTAGTGAGAAACTGCCACTAATCCCTTTTTAAGCAACTGCTGCAAATAAACGACTGGCTTATCCCTCTAAACGCCATCAAAGAGCTAACATTAAATCAGTATCCATCTCACTGACATTAGTTAGCCACCTAGCTAACCTAGCTAGCAAGACGTAGCAGGCGATTCAATTGTTAGCTAGCTGGCTAGCTAACCCATTCACTAAACAACGCATCATTTTATCTGATACTGTAGGCGGCAACTAAAGCGTGCCTAGCTGATATGGGTGCCTTAATACTGTACTTACCATTTTTATTGTTAGAGATTAAAGGCGCTGTGATATTTTCTGCGTGGATAAATTACGCCAACCGCCGTTTTCTTATCCAGTCGTCCGTTTGTCGGCTCGCTCTTCCCTCAGCTAAGCGGCTGTGTGCGCCCAAATTTCGAGATCACTCCGCCTGGGTTCTTCGGTCAAAAGCGGGGACGTTGCACTCCCCAACAACCAGGCCGTCTCTATGGTCTCCTTGCGCCAACGCGCCGCGGAAGCGAAGCAAGTCCCAAAGAAAACGAGCTTGACCCGCGGTCTCGTTTCGTGTACAATGCAGATATTGTTCCTCGTTGCTTTTGTTCGTATCGAACTGCACTAACTTAACAGCCGCTGCTTCAAAAAGGCTTTTCTTCAAGTTTGAGCGGCTCGGTCAGGGAGTTTGTAGCAAAGCGACGGCGCGAATCAGCTGACCCCAACAGGATTACCGGATTGGTTTTCATCCACCTGCAATGCGTCAGGGAGTCCTCACAGGGAGGAGGGAACAGGCTGGACTCTTAAAGAGACAGGCAGCGGACAGGACGCGCATGCCGAAGAGGTTTGTGTGAATACAGCACGTCTGTGGGTTTTACAGTACGAATATAAGGCCTAAACCCGTTCAAGCACTGTTCAAGTGACAGAAGTGTCTCAGAATATGTTAACAAGACTTTAATGGCAGTCTCCAAATGGAAACCTTTGGTTTTAGTACCTTGCAGTCTGTGTGGTGTCAGGTTCCGGTCTCATTTTCATGCGTCTAATTCAGCACCGGTATCTCCCCTTACTGCAGCAGCTAATGCAGGTGTCTTCGGAACCACTACTCGAGCTGATCACATCTGCTGCTAATCCCATCACGGTTAGACCTCAAATGTGTATGTGGCAGAGGGGTGTAGATAATAAATGCACAGGGTTGCTGGTTTATTAGTTATGCCTACACTCTGTGAAAAAAAAAAACACATACTGGACAACACAGTGTGTTCAGTTGGAGACAGCACATTTTGAGTTACTTTAACCAGAAAACAGTGTGACAACGGCTAACACGTTGTTATTTAACACATCACTTTTCTACAGTGCACCCAACATACAGGTGCACTGCTTCTGGTCTACTTACTGTGTAAATGAGCAAATGCTCCCCCCAGTATAAACTAAATTCCATATCGTAGAGGTGAGCGAAACTTGAGTGAGCATATTATTCATCTTCAGTCATGTTGAACGGATCATTGTTCAGAATATCCCTATTCTACCTAATTTTCAGTCAGCTATCCATCTGTCTGCAGTGCTGCTCTTCAGTGGAGAATTAATATTTCATTAGTATTAAAATAGCCAGGTGAGACTGAGCGCTCCCAGTGCATAACGAGTTGTTCTAAATAAAGATCCCCGGAGACACTTTAGATCCATCTGGTAGACCTGCACGAAGATAGTCTCGTTTGGAAGCGCTTTTAATGATTCTTCCGTGTATCAGTTACACATTATACAAGAGGAAACCCCATCTGAACACTGGCCAAAGAAACCAGACAGAAAGCCATCATGAATTGTCTTCCAGCTTTATTTTTCATGCATCTTTTTTTTAGGGTTTGTTTGGAGGGGCTGTTCATGCGATGCTTGTCAATCATTGATAGAACATTTTGGGACAAGTGCAGTGGAAACATTTTGCATCATCACAAAAACTAAAATCTTACAAAGGCTGAAACAGTCTTTAACGGAATGTGTTCCAAGTAACAGTAAAACAATAACAATAATAAAAAAAAAAGTAGAAAAAACATTTTAAAAAGTTGGCCTCAACTTCTACATTGAATGCCTCAGTCTTTTGACTGGCACATACCTGCATATACATTACATGTGTTTCAAATTAAAACCTAGTTCCACAGTTTTAGTGCATTTTGATAACATTGGGAAAAAGTAACAGAATGCCCAACAAGCAACATTTTACTATTATGTATAAGGTCCTCACATCCAAATGTAAACCTACAGCTTTTTATGGAGTGTAAGGGAATTTTAGCATAACGGCCTGTTGGGGCCCCACTGTCAGCTCAGCCAGATTAACATTGGTGTTAGCAGCCAGCTGTTTTGCATCAGTGCTGATGACAACGGTGGCTTTCCCAGGAAGCTCCTTCTGTGTTAGTTGCAGAGTGACAGAATCACTAGGGTGCCAGTTCAAAGCAACTATGTAGCGCTCGCTCTGGTCCCACTTGCGCAAGTAGGCCATGGCACTGGTGGAGTTGCTCAGAAGCAAGTATTCTCCATGCTGGAGGGAACGTTCCTTCCCTCTAAGGTCACTTGCTTCCTTGAAAAATTTCAAGTTGTCCCCCTCTTCCTGCAGGAAGATAAAACAGTACATGGTTACAGTCAGCACTGCTTAGAGCTATGGGTTTGTTCATTTTTGGAAAAGATTTATGCAATGAAGTACACTGCAAAAAATGCACAGGATATGAATTCCTTACCTTTTCTGTACTATTTAGCCACACCATGGTTGGGTCTACATCAGTCTAATTTAGAAGAGGGGAAAAGATCAGCATCTTTCAAGTCAATCAGCATTCGCTTTCTCAAGTCAAACCCTTTATACCCTCTTACCTGACTATCTTCCAGTCCTATTTCATCTCCATAGTTGAACACAGGTGTACCAGGTAGGGTGAACAGCAGCAACTGGCTCAGCTTCACACGCGCCGATGTCACTATGGAAGCCAGGTGACCCCTGACACGGTCGCCAATGTTCCAGGCCAGATCAGTCTCCTGGTCAGTAGAGTAGAGACTTTCCACAACCTGAGCGATCTCCACACCAGAAATGAGATTCAGGACCCCAGAAAGGAGCAGATCCACGCCAGTCCTGTTCAACTCTTTTCTCACCTCGTCAGCAGATTTCACTGTGGTAACTCCAATAAGGACCCTTAAATAAATTAAATCAAGGTAAGATTTTAGGCAGTCACAAAACAAAAGGACTTCTGTTCTTTCCAAAATGGACATCATTAGTGTAAGCTCTGCACCACTAGATGGCACCAGCACACCTCAATGTATTCCACAACATGGCTCCTTAACTCCAACTTTGGCTCAATTCCAAACCTACTATAACTCTGAGTGTAGCACAGCTAAGCAGCTTCTGGTCCATCAATATACTAAAGAATAACTAAGGGCATCATGTGGAAGCTATGGTGATAAGACATTCAGCACTCACTTTTTCTTCTCATCCTTAGTGTGATTCTTGATAGCATCTCTCATGTTGGTCCAAAAGGAGTCCACAGTAATCTGCTCAACGCCATGAAGGAGGATTCCATCCATACCTTCTTCCAGCCAAAAATCAGTGGCAGACTGAAAAGATGATATGACCACCATTAACATCATTCCTTAAAACTTAATATATCTTAACATAGTCACTAACAACAAATTCATAGTTAAACAAAGTAGTGAAAATCAGACCTTGACTTTGTTCGTCACTTGTGCGACACTGCTATTGGAGAACCAAGGGTCTGTTCCTTTATAGTTAGGGGTCAGATCCAAAACCACAGAGATACCTGGGCAAAGAAACGCATTATATTTAGTAAATATTGTGTAACAGTAGTCTGACTACTTTTTGTACAAAGTTAGCTTTTCCTAGTAAGTGTGCAGTTATTAGTGTTGTCTAGTAAAACTCACTCTTCTTGTGTGCTGTCTCAATAACTCGCTTCAGCTGTTCCAGATTGCCAATATCAGAGGAGATCTCCTTTAAATTCAGGTCTTCAGGCTTGTCAGCATTGGATGCATGGATAGGACCAATAATCAGACCCTTTACCTTCAGTTTCCCCACATCGTCAATCTTCTTCTGCAAACCTAGGGATAACCAGCAATATGCAAATGAAGTTAGCCAGTGGTTTACACTGTGCTTTAAGGTATACGCAGTAGGCTGCTTATGCACCATACCATCTTGACACTAAGAAATGTAAATGTACAGCAGATTATCCTACAACTGACCACAGGCTAAATTCAGCAATGTAAACAAAAAGCAGCATGTATGCAAAAATAGGGTTAGAGAATTTTGATGATTTAACCGCATGGAGGCTGAGCTACACTGCCAGGGAATGTAAATGTGTGCAAACGTGAGTCTGACCACCTAAACCTGGCATGTGCCAAAAAAATTGGACCGTGCCGTTACCTTCAAGTCCATTTTCCGTGAACGAATTGACGTCTCCGATCTGGTACAGCGCACCATAATCCCACCAGTTCATCTCGGGAAGGGGTTTGCATCGAGGTGCTTGGACAATGATGACAACAGCCCCAGCCAGCATCCCAATCCAGCCGAGCCAGAAGAGAATGAGCAGTGCCCATCGGGCCTTAACCCACCTGAGATTAAGAACCGTTCAAATTATGATCCCAGAAATGTATCAAATATCTTAAAAGATTTAGCAGGAAGGAAAAACAACACTTGATAAAAAGACCATCACATTAAGAGCCATCATACCCTGGAGTTCCAGCGACTTTCAGAAGCTCCTCCTTGGACAGACCAGTAAACTTGGATTCTTTCTCCTCAGGGATTTTCACCTTCACGCTGCCGTTTTTCTCTGTCACAGGGGAGCTGGCGTCGCCATTGCCCGTGTCTCCGCCGGTCATGGGCTGCTTCTCTGGATCCACTTCGTTGAGCTCCACATCCTTCATGTCCACTTCAGTGTCTTTAGTCATCTTCGCTGTTTTTGTGGTCTACAGTTCTTTCACTTCCACCTAAAGAAGGGGGAACACAGTGCGCGTGTAAACTACACGAGGAAACTGAGTAAGCCACGCGCGCTGCAACAGAGCGCATAGTTGCGTCAGCGAACCTGGTGTTCTAACAAATTGCCCTACTGAGCATGCGCATACCATCACTACAGTGTAGTAACTTAATATTTCAAACGTTTAATTGTGTTTTAAACGTTAGTTCAGTAGAGAATATCATTACTTACTCCCTGATAAGGTGATATACGCGATCAAAAAATCCTAATAATTCTTTTAACGCTGGTAACATTTTCTGATAAGGAGATTTAGGCTATAAAACTATCCTACCTATAGATTTCAGCGCTGGTAGTAGCTTCTGATAGGGCAATTTAGGCCATCAAAACATCCTTCCTACAGTTTAATGTAGGGCGCTACCTAAAAACATGCGGTGCGGTAGGACATTTTGACAAGCTAGCACGATTCGTCAGAACACCGGCACTGTGATGTCAGCAGCTTTGACACGAGGGAACATAGGGAGACATTCACTGAAGTCGCCCAGACGTTTTACCGACAAATAACCAGGCCAGCCGAGGGTTAAGGCCCAAATCCACAAGGGCTACATAATCCTGTGTAAACGGCTATTCAGGCTGTACTGTAGCCAAGTGTAGCCGATGCCCTCACATCCTCAAACCAGTAGCCTAACATCCAACCCGGCGCTCCCTTATCATAAATCTGTTACTAACACTTTACATTGCCACGATTACAGAACACAGCTTTGACAATCACCGTTTCAATATTCAATACTTGATCTTCTCTGTATTTGACACAATCACGAAGGTCGGGAAATTTTGCCTGCATCATCACAATCGCCTATTCAGAAAACCGGATTAGTCCAGTTCTGTTTTTTGTGGAAGTCTCCTTAAAACCTGAGCCATTTAACGTTTTAACTTGTTGTATACATAGATATGTTACTAAAGTGAGGAACAGATTAATCAGACCGCGCTACAAATAACGGGGAAACTATACATTTTAAACAGGTCTGTGAAACCATGTCACATGTTAACGTTATGTTTACTCCCCGTCATGACTCACAGATGTATGGAAGAAGAAAGAAGTACAATATTCCTTACACGATATATTTAGTGGGCTTATTTGGTTAAAAACGAATAACAGACAGTTACCTTCAAAAGCGACCGAGGAGCGTTAAAGACGAGTCGTGTTTCCCTGGATATTCACGGTGTCTCGTGTCTCTTTCTTCTCCTGAGCGTGATGCTTACTCTTTATACAGCGCTCGCTCCATTACGCTCCCTAGGAAGCCCCGCCTGTTTTTAAGGTGGCGCCGCGGAAAAGACAAGCGCACTTCCTTTGCAATACAAAACACCCCGTTTTGTAATTTGGAGTTTTGGGGTAACGTTCTTTTCCAGTTGGCGGGTTTCAGTTTGGGTGACCCCAGGAATGGGCAGCCATTTGTGTCCCACTGAGGTTACATTTAAAAATCTGTATCTGAAGTGATTAAAAAGACATTTTAAACATAGATAACTTATGTGAATCACGTGTGCATGTTTTAGATAAATTTAAAACCTAAAACAAGAACAAAAACTATATAAAGCACAGAATTGATTTTCTTCATTTTTAATGATATTGTAAAATTGATAAGGTCACGTTGAAAGCTAAACCCTGTTAACAAAATTATAGAATGACAGTAAATTTATTCATTTTAAAAAAGTAAATTATTAGAATGTATTTAACACCCTCATCCTATTAGCATTAGCATTAGCACGGATGCTAGTTAACCACACATTGTGTATTTGCTAATCCTCATTTAAAACCATTGTAAGCATATGAGTCTTATAAAAAAATTGACACACTGTTCCTGTAACTAATGAAACACTGTTCCTTTGTTATTAGTTTATAAGTTACAATGGCTAAATGGCACTGCTATTGTGGAATCACCACATACCAAAAATAGGTTATTAATTTGTGCAATAACAAGTTTCAGGGAACAGTGCAATAATAAATAATCAGAAAAAGAATTTTCTAAAGACCATCTCGCTTTACTTGATATGTGGATATATGTGGACAGTAAAGACTAGCATTATCACCAGTAGCTTTAAAATGATACTTTCAGCTTCCAAAACTGATGAAAACTGATGGAAAGACGTTTGTTTTTTGACTCAGCAAGTACAACAAAAAGTCCACCTTAACAGGGTCTTACTAGTCTACTCCCCCTAGCCATGTTCTGTGAGCATGACTTACACAAACAAGTTCAGACTGGAAGGCATTGTGTTTCTTTCCTGGAGAGACTGTGATAAACAACTCCAGGTATATAAGAGGCGGTTAGTTAAATAACACAGAAAATAACACTCTCAGTTTATAATTTGGCTGCTCATTCTTTTTCCACTCTGAATCATGAACATTTGTGATAGAATCACTATCATTTCTTTTAGCTGTATGATTAAACATTAGATAACTGTCTAAACAGTTTGATAAACTAGCAAAAGATTTAAGTTCAAGATTTATGTTTTTTATAATTATGAAATTACCTTAATTCAACATTGAAACTTTGAGCTGTCTGGGAGGCAAATGCATGTCCAACCTTTCACCCAGTTATGTTCTCTCCTCTCTTTAAATCAATTGAATCAATCAATTCATGTTGATGCAATACTTAAACAGTCAGTGAGATGGAGGAACAATGTTCAATGCTTCTCTTTAATCAAAATGTATTAAATCAAATAGATGAATGAGTTCAACATCAAGCACTGGCAGAAGCATTGCCCAGCAACCTTTGAAGTGCATAAGACCATTGTTCTTTTGATCAGCGCTCTGTGATCCAATCACAAAATAACAATGAACAATAAGCAGCTACATTATAGTGGAAAACACATGAGCACTATATAAATTTAAGTATAAATGTTACTGGAGTCATTCCCTGACAGAACAATGCTTATAAGCTAACATGTTAAGTAGTCATGACTTTTAAGACATGGCTTGTCCAGGTTAAAAACATCAGATCATGTCACTGGTATTGCATCTAATTTAGGCTGAACTTAGTAAACATGGTGTGGATTAAGAAGAGAGTGTGACTGCCCTGGCGGCTAGTCCTGTTTGTGAGAGCTGCTGTAATCGTTCTGCTCTACTAGGAAACGGTAACCTGATACAGCAGGGAAGTTGGAAGCATGAACGTGTTGGCTAAAGCTTATTTATAGTATATTCAGAGTGATAGTGAGGCCATATGTTTAGTGCTAAGTTATGATGAAAAACAGCACACTTCTTTTGTGTTCTTTGTTTCAAATTCTAAGACATAACAGCCTTATAGTTCACAGGCCACGCTCCTCCCTCAGGGTGGGGGCATGGAAAAGGATTGAATATCATGTAAACACGCCAAAGCACAACATGTCCTAGCATGGCAGCTCCTGAAGAGTGGAGAAGGTAAAGACATGCCATAAGCTCATAAAGATTATCATGATGGAATACACTGAATTTACCTCAACCGCAAGGTTATGCTGATGTGATCAGTCGAGTTGGAGAAAACAGCTTGAGGTGGAAGGCAGCTGAGCACTGTGTCTGAAATGAGAACAAAAGAGCTCGGCACCAGCTCTAATCTACTGCTGATTTGAATTCTCTGTGATTGAGCAGTCAGTCAGTGTAGCTTCTGTCATTGACTTTCATTGATTTTTACATTCCTGTGCATTAAACTGCAGCTAGTCTTGCTCACCAGACAAGGTTCATTTGGAGTTACCTTATTTATGCAGTGTACGTTGCCATGCACATACAGAGTTCAAAACTCTGAATCAATGTTTTCTGTAATATAAAACTGATGTGGTTACAGAAAAGTTTATAAAAAACATTGCATCTCTATTTTTCTTGTTTTGTTTTTTTGTTTTGTTTTTGCTTTTTTGCATAATTTGAAAACTCTGGTTACCCCTTGCTGTATGTTAAAAGTTCACAATGAATGGACCAACAGAAAAGGTAAAAAATACTAGGAAAAAAATCTTGTTACATTGACTTTCATTACAAGTTAAGAAGGTTTTTTCCTTTTCCTGTAAAGTTACCATTTTGGAGACAGCAAATATGCCAGTGCTGTGCAACATCACATGTTTCAAATAATTAGTAGGATTCTAGAAAGCTGTAAATAAAAATTAAGAAATGTTTGATGTTTTCTGAATAAGTTGAACTGTAGAAGATGCTAAAATGACTGAGAAAGCTGCATTGAGAAATAATTTTTAATGTAATTACTGTCCAGACATCATCTTTCAACAGTGGAAATAATGTAATATTTCAAAGAAGATAGCTGAATATAAATTGCTCATTGCAGTATATTATTTTTCATTTTATTCAGTTCTTGTTCACATAATTCTTGAAATACTGAATACATCTAAAATATAATTTGTCAAATAGTTAAATAATATTTAAATAAACATTGCATAAGTTATTATGGTATATAAAATAGCACAATATTGATATGACAAGTAATTCCAAATGTTTGCATGATAGTGTATATGCAGAAAGCTATAATATGTTTCGCTGCTGTCAAAAGAAAACCTTATAACATTTTTACAGCATTTGAAAATTACATTTGCCCTTTATATTATGTAAACATCGACCAGTAGAAGTCTTGAAAATCAACCCTTATAAGTTTGTGCATTATTAACAGAATGAGTGTTTTTGTTTCCTTCTCATATGAAGTTACTGTTTTGATGGTATGACATTTTCTAACAGCGGTGATGATTTGTAACATAAAGTACGGTCTACACTTTTGAGCAACTGGGAAATCGCCTTTCACAGAAGTACCTTGGTCTGTTTGGACTTGACACTCCTGGAAAAGCAAGTTTACAATTCATTTAAAGCCAAAGTGCTGACTCAGTGACTCTGTGGCAGGCCCTACTGCCAAATAAACCAATGTTATTTGCTTTTAGTGACCTAAATGCACCGTCCAATAATTAAAGGAATAGTTTGGTGAAAAATTACACACTTTACACAATGTTTGCTGACACTTCATGAGACACTGTTATGTATGAAAAAGGACAGACAATATTAAAGGGGAATTTCACAAGATTTTGGACATTTCTGCACAGTTCAATCATTGAGATGTAAACAAGTCATTAAGACTGGTTTGATGAGAAATTGTTTATTTGTAGATAAACATACAGGACTCAGATTTCTTTACAGTGGTGGTGATAGGAACCAGGGGTCGCAATGTATAACACAAATATAGCCATTTTATTTACTATACACAACCACCAGTGAACCTACACACATCTTCTGCGTTTCTGTATGTGTATTTCTGTATGTAATGTTGATGATGGTAAAATAGTGGTAAATCTGCAAAAGACGTTTTCTTTGGGGGCCATTTTGACTTTGCCTTGCATGTACCTCTCCACTGTGAATTAATAAAAATAAAATAATGCCTGTGCCTAATGAAGCATATTCATTGCCATTTCTTGTAATAACTTTCTGTTAAGGAGCTTTTAGGGGCGTGAAATACTTCAGACGTCTGGTTCCTATCACCACCATTCTGATAAATTCTGACTCAATAAGTTTCTCTGGAACTGAGCATTTTACATCAAACCATCCTGAATGACTTTGTTTACATCATACACAGAAATTTTGAAAAAAATGAGCTGAATTCCCCTTTAAGCCTTCCAGATGACTGCTATGCTAAGCTGTGCTAATACTTTTTTTTATTTAATAGATATTTTATAAATCTATAGATGTTATACAGTTTCAGAAACTACATAAGCTAGATGTGTGATTAAGGCCTTGATTAAGGCCTATATTAAGCTAGTTGGTGGAGAATAAACTCCCATTACATAACTACATTAGCCTCGTAGCTCCAGTGCAAAACTATAGAAGCAAATCTCAGACACAAAACATGTCTGATCGACTACATTTGGGGTGACTCTGGAATTAAAAACTTGTGTCATGTTAAACTTGTGCATAATAAAGTCATTTTGTTTTCTTTGCTGTGTAGATAATCAAACACACAAAGCTGTGTTTCTTTTTTTTTGTCTTTTGCCTGCAATGTAGAGTGATATGTTAGATATTTTGCCAGGAGCATTGCCCTATTGCTTTTTATTAAAGTGAAGCTGTTTCTGCTTTGCTTTTGTGACTTTTCTGCGTTGCCCAGCAGATATTAGAAGTCTGAAATGTTCACCTCAGTGACCTCAGATCAGATCTACTATCATCACTGTCCTACCAGAAATAACACTCATTACTGAGAAAGGCCTATTTAGTTGCTATATAATCAGTGGCACTGTTAATAGCTTCAGTCTATTTGGGTAAGAAACTTTGTCTGAAGCAAGTTTA